TTTTCATCTCTTAGAATCCATCCCGCCTTCGCATAATTTCTCTTCTTGATGTACGATCCATCATAGTTGCATTTTAGCCATCCTTCTTTTGGTCGAAGCCATCGATGATGTCTTGCAATCGCAATTGGATTTTGATGAGAGTCTGGCTGATTATATCTATCAATGAGCTGGTGGACATCTAACCATTCTTTTGCATCACTTTCCGCTAATTTCAGTGTTGTCAACCAAGGGATTTGTTTACGTTGAAATAAAAGTGTATTGCGGCTCTTCCAGATACGCCAAAATATCCACAAGGCATATTGATGTACTCTGTGTGGCAGTAATGTACTCCTCCTAAGTATAGCTTCCAGCTTAGCCTCAACATTTAATCCCATATTGATGACATTTGGGTTTGAAAAACCTGAAGCTCTCCATATTTGTTGGGCATAAGTGCATTCAAAGAAAAGGTGATTGGTTGTTTCTTCTGAAAGAAGGCACCGTGGACAAAGAGCATTTCTTGTCACATGTCTCGTTTTGAGATTTTTTCCGGTTGGGATTGCACTTGAGACCACTCTCCACAAGATGTGCTTTATCTTTGGGGCGATTTTGAGCTTCCAGATTAGTTGCTTCAGATTAGCATTACCAGAAGGGGGATGAAGTAGCCTTTGATGGGTATGAGCTGCCAACCAGTAACCAGACTTAACTGTGTAGAGACCAGTTTTATTGTAGTGCCAACCTAATAAATCTTTTTCTGATCTTGAGTTTACCCGTAAAGACAGAATAATCTCTGCATCCTCTTCCACAACTAGTCTTCGTATTTCTCTTTCATTCCACCCTGACTGTTCAGCAAACAGATCTTTCACTAGACATATATTGACATTCTCCTCTATCAGTCTTGGAGGTCGTGGAGGATCTAAAGGTAACCATAGGGCACACCAAAAGCTAACTGCAGTTCCATCCCCAATGATAAATCTCATTCCTTTCCTCAATAAATCCCTTCCTTGGAGAATTGATTTCCATATATATGAACTTTTCCTGCATTCTCCAGCAATGAGGATGTTCGTGTCTTTAAAATATCTGCTTTTCATTATTCTGGCCATAAGACAATTTGGATTTTGTAGTACCATGCTTGTTTCCCGAGTAAAGCAAGGTTGAATTGCTTTATATCCCTGAAGCCTAACCCTCCTTCTTTTTTTGGTAAACCCATTCGTTCCCAACTATACCAGTGCATTCCGCTTCTTTCATGACCATTTCCCCACCAAAATCTTGCAAGAATCCTGTTTATGTCATTGCAGAGGCCCTTAGGGAGCTTGAAAACATTCATTGCATAGACTGGCATTGATGTAGCTACAGATTTCAATAGGACCTCCTTCCCTCCTTGTGAAAGGAACTGCTTGTTCCAACCTTGAGTTCTTTCATTGACCTTTTCTAATAGATATTGGAACATTTCTGCCTTCTTCTTCCCAAATTGCTCAGGCATACCCAAATACTTCCCTCCTCCACCATCATTGTGGATCCCCAATATTCTTCTCATTTGTGTTTTAGTTCGATCCTGTACTCTGCTGCCGAACATTATTGCTGACTTTCTCAGATTTACAGCTTGACCCGAAACCTTTTCATAGAGATTCAAAACCTTTTTAATTGCTCTTCCAGACTGTGGATTAGCAAGTGAGAAAAATAATGAATCATCTGCAAAAAGAAGGTGATTCACAGCTGGACTTTGGGTACTGACTTTAATCCCTTGAATCTTCCTAGTGTTTGCTGCTTGAGTCATCAGATGAGAGAGTATTTCTGCATAGAGAATAAAGAGATAAGGGGATAAAGGATCCCCTTGTCTTAGACCTCTTTGTGGCTGTATAAATCCCCTCGGTGAACCATTAATCTGAACTGAAAAGCTCACAGATTTGACACAAGTCATGATCCAATGTATCCATTTACCATCAAACCCAAATCTTCTCATAGTTTCTTCCAAAAAACCCCACTCTAGACGGTCATATGCTTTCGTCATATCTGTAAGTGCCATATAAGACTTTGACTGTCTTCTTCTGACCTTTAATGCATGGAATACCTCATGAGCTATTATCACATTATCCGTGATCATTCTTCCTGGAATGAAAGCAGCTTGATTTCCTGAGACGAGAGCTGATAGATGTTGTTTAAGCCGATTCACCAGGATTTTGGAAATGATTTTATAGTTAACATTACACAACGCAATTGGACGAAAGTCTGCCATCGTTGTTGGTGTTGTTGTTTTGGGTATTAGACACAGGTTTGTGTGGTTGTGCCTTTGATCCATTCTGCCCTCCTCAAAGAAAGCTTTCACTTCCAATTATAATGCCGGTGATATTTCATTCCAAAAGCTTAGATAAAAAGATCCAGAGAAACCATCAGGTCCTGGGGTTTTCTGTGCTCCAATAGAAAAAACGGCTTTCCTGATCTCCTCAAGTGATACTTCTCTTATAAGATCATTGTTCATATCTCTTGTGACTCTGCTTTCAAAGTTGACAAAGACCTCATCTATAGCATTCTGCGAATTCTCCTGTGTACTGAATAGCTCCGTGAAGTATCTCTCTGCAGTTGCTGCAATGTTATCATCCCCTCTTTGAATAATACCTTGTGAGTCTTGTATTGACAGAATTCTGTTCTTAACTCTCCGCGTCTTGGTCACTTGATGGTAGAATCTTGTGTTTCTGTTCCCCACTTGTAACCATTTATTTCGACTCTTCCTTTTCCAGTAGATTTCCTCGTCAACATAAGCTTTGTTCAACTGGGCTTTGAGGTTGTCTCGTTCAGACTGTGGAACATTAGGTGATGAAGCTGCTTTGTCCAACTTATAACGGAGAATATCTATCTTTTCTTTTGCATTTGATTTATGTCTCTGCTTCCACCGAGAAATCTGGCGATGAACCTTAACTATTCGGTCCAACAAAGTAGCATTTTGTGATGACACACTATTCCATTCTCGAGATACCATTTGTTGAAAGTCTTCATCTGATGTCATTCTATCATCGAACATGAATTGTCCTCTTCTATGTTGTTATTATTTTTATAAAAATAGCAAATAGGATATTAATTTATGATATATTAAAATATTAAATTTAAATAATATTCTCATAAGAATAAAAATGATAAAAAATATATTTTTATATTTTTTTATATAATCAATTAGTTTAAAAGTTTAAATATTTAGAATTAAAAAATATTTATATTATATGGTAATATGAATATACGGGATAGAATTATGTTTTTATATTCATGGTCTTTTCAGATTAATCGAATGGACGAGTTAAAATCTTTACTATTAAAATGAAACACTTTTTCTGTCCAAACAGAATTTCATTAGTAATCTACTTTTCTGTTTTTGGATAACTACTATTTCTGTTGTCAAAGAAAAATTTTAATTTTATTTATTTGTTTTATTTATTTTTAAAAATTAATAAAACAATATATTTTGAATTTTATCTTTCAAATTAATTCTGAAATTTTTGAAAATTGAATTCAGTTAGTTTAGATTTTCTTAAATATAGTTAAGATTAATTATTAAATTACAAAATCAGTTGTTATTATTTTTATAAAAATAATAAAATATGATATAAATTTATTTTCTATTTCCAAATTTAAATATGATTCTCATAATGATAAAGATGATAACCGATATATTATTATATATTTTTTTCATAATCAATCATTTTAAAAATTAAAATAATTAAAATTAGAAAAATATATATTATATGGTAATATGAACGGATGAGGTAAAATTTTGTTTTTATATTCATAATCTTTTTTAGATTAATTGAATGGGCGGATTTAAATTATATTTTTATAATCGTGGTCAAATTTATTAGAAAAAATCAAATTTAAAAATAAAATTTATCTAAATACAAAAATAAATTTATATTTATAAAAAACAAAAATTACATCATAAAAAAAATTGAAAAAAAAAATAAAAAATTTCCCGTGCAGACGCAGAGAGTAAAATCTAGTAATCTTTAAAAACCCCTTACAAGATTTTCATGTGTCTCATTTTTATTTGTAATACTTCAACTCTCCCGTATATAAAACAACTGTTTTTACTTGTTTTCAAGCAAAATGCATGCAAATCTAACACGTTTGAAACCTTTTCATGCATAATCATAGTTTCTAACCTTTTTAACGGAATTTGTTTTCCCAAAAATTACAAATTGGAAACAAAAATTATCTATACAAGTTCCTCTAGCTATTTCGAGATTAGAGAAACGAAATATACGATACTAGCTCTATAGAAAACATAAATTATCTTATGTATACACAGAAAAGCATCAAACCTGAGTTTCCAAAAAATAATATATGTATAGTCCATCCAGTACATGTCATAAGACAACCTTCTCTTACTAAACCAAAACGAGATTATCGTCCATTGACTGAAAACGCAAGTAAACCACTGGAAATTTATAAATGCATCTTTGTTCTCAAGGATTGAATCCAAACGTTTACAAAATAAAACCGAGTTGAAAATAAGAATAAATACCAAAGCTCCAAAAAGTAAATTTATTAACTTAAAAGAATTAACATAAATCATGAATAATTTCAAACAAAAAAATTACAAATAATAAATAAATTCCCAAAGTCCATACACTAAACCAGAAAGTCTTTTTATGCATTTCTTCGAAATCGCTTGAAAAACAAATGACATAGGTGAATAATTGAAATTATGAGGATAGATCCAAGGATCCCCGATTTCACACCGCAAACGACTCAACACCACGGCAAGTCTTAAATTTTTATTTGTACTACTACCGTTTGACCACCATAAATACCACTCGAAGAAGAGGCAAATTTCGTGGTTAGAGAATACGCAATTTGGCACCAAAATTGAATATAAAAGTCTGGCAATAAGGGTCAATGCCTTGTACCATACCGTTGACCTTTTGACCTAATTTTCTCCTCTCAAAATTATAGCTTCACTATTTTGACTCTTTGACGTACCCTACTCGAGCACAAGATTGAAATAACAAAATCCATAAGCCTAAAAGAATTCAGTCTAAAGACAAATCAAACTGCATAACTTTTTCTAGAAGAAATATTCACACTGTAAGAGAACAAATGGTTGAATATCATCTTTGTAACACAACACAACTTACTATCTTTACTTCTCACTTCTGTAATCTTTGTATTCATTTCATGTTTACTCTTTACATCTCTTTCTTTTTTTTCCCCCACTTAACCTCTCTCCTTGTTGCAAAAATCTCCACTTCAAATAGATCCCCCATACAAACAACTAAGGTGCCAGGATCTAGAGAAGGATAAAGCCAAAACCAGGGGAGACACTGTGTTTATACATGCGTCCTTAATCTTTAGTTTACGGGATGCGGCTCACTCGGGATCTGAATCTTTGCTTCCATTCCTACACCAGTCTTGATCTCAGAGGAGAATTTGGCGCTTGAGCCCTGTAACTAGATGGTTCCATCATTGTGTCTTTCTTGAATCTAAAAGGGCTTGCAGCAAACTCCGCTAGGTTGTACCCACTGTCTTGCACAGGAAATGCGTAAGACGGGTGAGGAGGTGACAGGAAACAACTCTTGTATGCCGGCCCAAGTTGGCGTAAAGGGCTTGAACATGGAGATACTGGTAACGATGTGATAGCTCTTACGTTTTCTCTACTGCAAGCATGAGAGACGGATTTAGTACGAAACAACCAAGCATCATACAGACTAAGGCACAAACCCTTTTTTACCTCGGGCTCTTTATAGTATGAAAGACGGGATGTCTTCCTGAATAGGGTGGTTCCCTTGTAGGCTGTTCGAGAGGAAACTCAAGTTTAGATTATTAATAGGAAATCAAAGTACTCCAGCTCAACATATGCATAATACATATACCTGAATGCAGCTTCCATCATAGAAACGTGGGGACGCATCTTTGGGCATGCTAGTATTAGCCACTCTTGTTGATGGCCCACGTAGAAAAGGGTGTTCTAAAAGCTGAGAAGCTGTAGGGCGTACTGTCGGATTTCGCTGCAGACAAAGCCTTATAAAATTCTTCGCATCATTTGAAAGGTGATCAGGTATTTCTGGCATGTCTTTGCTGTTCCCGATTTTGAAAATCGCAGCAACCTGGTAAAAATAACGCAAGAGACAACTTGGGTTTTAGAGAAAATTTTAGAATAATAACAAGAAGAGTGCACAAAAGATTATGGCCAGTCTTCAGGATCATATACCCCTTCAAACTGGCTCCAAGGTGGCTTTGCCGTTGCCATTTCAAGAATAGTACAACCCAAACTCCACACATCGACTGCAAGAGTGTAGCCATTTTTGTGCATCACAACCTGAGAGAAAACGAAAGCATTATGTGATTTTCTATCAGCTGCAAGAACATAATGTCCTTCCTAGCATGTATCACTTGCCTAAGCGTCTCCAGGAAAGAGAAAAAAATAAAGAAAACGGGATTTACCTCGGGTGCCATCCAATAAGGACTCCCAGTGAAAGAAAGCATAGTAGAATAGGCTGTTACCTGTTGCAGAAAGAAATGGCTATTACAGTTTCTGCAAGTATAATTTACAGGAAATGCATAATATCAAGGAGATACAATAATTGACATCTTATGTTGCCTTTTGAAGACGTTCTAGGGTAATAGAACACTTATTCATATTAAGTGATGACGTACATCGATATACTTACATGTTTGGCCATGCCAAAGTCTGCCAACTTGATTTCCCCATCCGGATCCACTAATATATTTGCTCCTTTGATGTCCCTGTTGGATTAACATAAATCTTTATTAAATTTTCAAGAGGAGACAAATGGAGTTGCATTCAAGCTTTATAATGTAGTTTCAGATATCACAGCCAAACTACCTATGCACTGTATTTCGTCCATGTAAATAGGCAAGCCCCGCGAGAATCTGCCGCGTGTAGTTTTGGATAACAGGTTCAGTGAAAGGACCATACTCCGTGAGTAGTTTATGGATTGAGCCACCTGACACATACTCCAAGTAGACGGACAAGGTTTCTTCACTCTACAACCATAACAAATATCCAGACACATGGCCAGAGAGGCTTCAATATGGTTTCCTTATAACAATATTACACTGCCCAAACTCAACAAGCATTTATGATCTCTTCTTTTCCTGAAGCTCACAGATATTGACACATACCAATTCACTTCCGTAATACTGAACAATATTTGGATGACAAAGCTGGCTCAGCACATTTATCTCCTGTAAATCAAATAGCCTGGTTAGAGGTGTGACAAATACTAGAGTGATCGATATCGTTTTAAGTAAGAGCTGAAAGGAATCAGGTCTTGACATTTACAAACGAGAAGGCGATCTAGATAAACCTGATTTAGTTGCTTCAGACATTCTTTTGAGTTTTTGTCGTCTGAAATGACCTTGACCTCTTTAATAGCACAAATTTTTCCTTTTTCACTGTAAGATTAATGAAAAAATTATACCAAATTGAAAGAGGAGGATGCTACAAAGTTATAACGCAGTATCTGTAAATGGAGCTAGCATAATAGAAAGTTGTGCTTTCTATTGCCTTAATCTAGTAGGCAGGTGAAATAAACCTTCAATTTTAATCAAGTAATTGCAGACATGAACCATCCGAAAATGTCCACAAATCCCACAATGTAACTCCAATAGCGGAACACAGGTGAGCTATTGACCTATGGTATCAGAAGTCATAGAAAACACCCAAGTCTATCACAGTTAGCATCCCTGGATACTGGTTTAGGAGAGCTTTTGACCTATATATCAAAAGCTCTCCTAAACCAGTATCCAGGCGAAGCAAACAAAACTTTCCACCTAAAGAAAAAACCAGCATCAAACGCCCCATATCTATCAGAGCATCGCACATTACACCATACAAACGAGTGGGAGGCTTTGCTAAATCGAACCGTAGCTAAGTCTTGTCACCTAAAACTTAATCCAACTCATTAAATTTCACCAAAAACTTAATCCAACTCATTAAATTTCACCAAGAGAATCAGTACAAGAATTCAATTCTCACCTGTTGAACCCTTGATAGACCCGCCCAAAAGTGCCACTCCCTATAAACTTCCCTTTCTTCCACTTGGAAAACCCCAGAGGAGACATCTCTGGCCCTCCTCCAATCCAGGACCCTTGCACACCAGAAGGGCTTGTAGGAGAACTCGGCAGCACGACAGTGGGGCTTGTAGGAGAACCCGGCGGCAGAGGCAAAGGGTGGTACTCAGAGGACCTTCCATCATCATTCCTCCCTGTCGAAGACTCTAAGCTCATACCAGACAATCGATTATGCAGTGGAGACGTTGGTCTAGTTCCAGCCTTTGGAGAAGCTGCTACTGCGTTGGATTTCACATCACAATGCCCCCTACAATATGTTTATGAGTTAAGAGCCACCAAACCACAAAAAAAAAAAAAAAATAGAGATTATCAGACGGCAAAACCTAAGTTTTCTTAGTCATTTCTATTCACAAACATTCAGTAATCTCCGAGGTCCTTGGAATCTTATAAGCAGATGCAAAATTCCAACCAGTAAAGAGGGGAAAAGCCGAACCTAGAACTAGTGAGTTGACTCTGATCTTCAGCTGATCCAGATGAGCTAACGCTGGAAACAGAAGCCGATCCGGAAACCGATCCGCTTACGTGATCGTTAGGAACTGAAGAAGAGAGCGATGGGCGAGGAAGAGGATGATATTTCTTCTCGTCGGAATCGAAGCCGGAGAATCCAGAGGCTCCGGCGAATTCACGACTGCAACGAGGGGTACAGCGAGAAGGAGTGACGGGAGGATCACCGTTGCCTTTTTTATCAACGGAGATTCTTCTGCTACTCTTGTCGACAACACAACGAGTTTGGCTCTGAACAAGGTGATTATCGTCTTTGTTCTTGCCGGATTTTCTCACCCACCAAGTAGGCATCACAAAACCGAGGATTTAGGAACTGGGATTTTGACGGAATCGAAGAGAAAGAGAGAGAAGAAAAAAAAGATCAGGGGTTAAGGCATGAGAAGGAAGATAAAATACGGAAGATGGAAAAGGAAGAAGAAAATCTGAAATTGAAGGAGAGAAGAGAGAAGAAGAAGACAAGTGGGGTGAGAGGGAGAGTGGACAGCTAAGCACGAAAGGGTGGTTGGAAAGGGTGGCACGTGATGACGTGGTCGATAACTCAATATCATTGCTTCGCGCTGTGTCTGACTTCACTCGGCCCATAAAAGCCCTATATCATTTTGTTGTGCAAATTTAAAAATCTTAAGCTAATTCTAAAAAAAAAAAATTCTCAAGTATGAAATAATTGGTATATTTATTCTCCAAACTAATATGATTATACAATTTCTCAAGTTTGATTTGATTGCAAAAAATTAAAATGAAAAAAAAAATTACTTTTAAATTGTAAATGAAAGATATTATAACTAATTAAAAATACATCACGATTTTTTATTTTCAATCGAAAAATCCCAAATTAAATATCTTATAAAAGAAAGAATTGCTTTTATAATATCAATTAAATTCATATTTGTCTTTTTAATGTTTTCTATAAAAATGTGTCCTCTTAATGTTTAAATTAATATTAACCCTGTTTTATCCTCTAATTTTTGTTTTATTAAATTTTATTAAATATTATTACATTAAATTTACTAATTTCATCTATCCTAAACAAAAAATAGAAAACAATTTATAAAAAAAATTGAAACTATCTCTTCCCCCGACTAAACACCTCCGCCTGTTCTTCTTCTTCCATGCATCTTCTCCGCATGTTCTTCTTCTTCTGGTAAGTAGAAATGGCTTTTTTTTTCTTCATCAACCAAAAAAATCAATTTCTTATCTGTCCCTGATTTCATAAACCACAATTGACATAGATATGTAGCATGTTTGAAGCAAATAGGCAAATTTAGAGAAAATATGCTTGATCAATGGAAAAAAAAAGAAGATAGCAATGACAACAACAAAAAAAACCTACAAAAAACCTAAAAAACGTGAAAAAAAAATTAAAAGATTTTCGAAAATATTTAATTCTGTGTGTAAACCAATTTTCCTAGATTTTCTCAGATTTTGGTAGAATTCGTATTCTACATTAATGTAGAATAAAGACCGTATGTAGAAAAACTATTCTACAATAACGTAGAACCTAGTCTAGTAATTAGAAATTATATCTACGAGAATGTAGAATATAGTGCATCAAGTAGAATTTATAATCTATCATAATTTAGAATATAAGTAACATATAGAATTATTTTCCACCACTCGGTAGAATATATAAAGAACTATAGAAAACGAATTCTACAGCTGTAGAATAATGAGGGAGTACGAGAAATCGAATTCTACGTAAATGTAGAACGTAGAACGTAGAACACACATTCTACATTATTTTTTTCCTTTAATGATTTTTGATAATATTTTTATTTTCTTTTGAGGTATTTTTGAAACTTTTTTAAAAAATTGTTTCAAAAATATTTTTAATTAAAAATGTCATAACTGATTTTTAAGGGCAATATGTCAAAAAATTGACCAAAACTAGAAAATACTAAGGGGACAAATCTGAATTGAATTGATATTAAAAAAGCAAATCTCCTTGGAATCTAGCGACAGGATTCAATTTCGATCTTGAAAACAAAAACTTCTAATTCATAATGTGAGAATTATGACCGAAAAAATTAAGTTTCCAATTTAATGGGAACCAGAACTCGAGATTGGTTTGTGATTTTGTATAAATTCAATTCAGGTTCAACAAAGATCAGTGATGTGGGAAAACTTTTGAAGCATGTTTGATTGGTTTTTGTTCCGTAGGGCACTAAATGAAGATTGCAATGTGGGTGAAAGTGGATCCTAAAATCCACACTCAGAAGTCTTGTGTTTGGTTTAGTGGATGAAGAATTTGGGCAAGAATTCTAGTAAGAGCGATATAAAGTAAAAGATCAAGATCGACGAATTTGGATTGTATTGATGAGATTATGAGTTTACAAGAGTGTTTCTAGCTAAGGGATGAATGATCTTATACATAGAAGCGACGTCCTATTTATACTAAATAAACCGAGCCTAACTACTACAAGATTTGCGGGACGTTGCGACTTCGAGCTCTCCGAGATCTTCGGAATTTTCACTTATCCATGCTTCCTCATCTTCATAGCCCATCACGTCCTATCGAATATCCTTCCAAGATCCTTTCTCCCTGCGTTTATGGGCCTTAAAGCCCAGAAAGGCTGATGTGGTTTCAATTCGTCAAGCTTTGGGATCTTGGTGTTTAAGGTTTTTTTGCAGAAGTTGCTTGACTGGATTAAACTGACTTTGTCGGTCGCAAGTTCATGTGAAAGTTCTAAGATAAGGGTATTAACGAGAAATTCAATTTTTCCTTATTGTTTTTGTTTTTGTGACTGCTAACTTTTTATTTTATTCAGGTCTTTGTTAGTTTAGTCATTCTTTTTCGAACCTGTAAGGATTGTAAAAATTATACGGTTTTAAGTTTGACTTAGTGTTTAGCCTTATGTTTTGTACTTTTGTATATCGTCAAATTTGTTTAATTTCTTTTTATAGGGCTTTAATCTTCGGAAGTTCTATGAACGTATCGGTTTAGTCTCTGGAAGGTTCTATTTTTATCTCTTTTATACTTTTTCACGTTTAACTAATAATAAAATCCATAAATAACAACTATATGTTGTCCCATTTAGCGAGTTGTCAATCTGTAACAAAGTAACAATAACATAATAACACTAAGCTAACAGTACAAAAAAATTCGAGATATATGTAAGTTTTTGTAACAACCTTTTTCTCTTACAAAATTGTCAAAAAAGTTGTAGCTTGTAGGCTTCGTAATCCATAACAACATAATAACAACCTAAATTGTAACATTTTGTTAGATGGTAATGTTTCTTTGTAAATGTGTTGTTTTTTTTTTCTGATAAACTTGTAAATGTGTTGTTTTCCGTTATATTTAGAAATATGTTTGCGCTGTAATGTTTTTTAAATATTTTTGTTTTTCAAAGAACATATACTGTATATTGATGAATCTCATTCTTAGCTACAAAACGACTCACATAAACATTACCGATCATCTCAATCTAGCTAATACACAAATTCATTAAGGTCGAGAACGCTACAAATCGCTTGGTTTGATGCCACATTAACCCAAATAATCATCATTAATGTCATTTACTTATCAACTACGATCCCTTAATCTATTCAGAGTTATAATAAGTATAATCAATAATCAAAACGAGGAAAAACAGAAATAAGAGAGAAAGAAACGGAGGTCCATTAAGAATCGCTCCCTAATTTTCAACAACAGTACTATGCGTACGAGAGAAAGAGTAGAGAGAGAGTGCGTCTTCGACCACCCAAGCCAGCCATCGCTATTTTATTTACCCTCTCATCCCTCGCCACGTGTCCTCTCTCTAACTGAAAAATATTCTCTCGTTTCCCTCCCTCTTAAAAGCCAAAACAATACCTCCCTCCGCCATTTTTGATCTCTCTCTCTTCTTCTTCTTCTTCCTCTCGTCAGTTTTTTTTTTATAATTTTGTTTTTGATTTCTCTGATTCATGCTCCGCGAGAAATTGTGTCTCCTCGTCTCTGCTTCAGGTGAATTCCCACCTCTCCGTCAAATTTTGTTTTTCCGGCGAGAAATTGTTTATCGTTCGGTGCGTTCATTCCGTATTTTGTTTTTCGTTTCTTCAACCTCCAGGGAAGGGGATCTAGAAGCTCTGCGCATCGAACGTGAGTCCTCCATTGCGCTCTTTTTATTTTATACGATACAGAAATTTTCATGTCGATTCAGCTTCCTTTGATTTTTTTTTTTAGGAAATTATGGGAAGATAACATTGAATCGATGTCTAGTTTCTGTTTCCTTTTTTGATTTCTTCTCGCCTGACCTCCATTTGATTTTGTGCATGTTTGTTGTTATTGATCTTAAGGTGCTTTTGTTTCGCGTATACAGAGTTTTTCCCTCCCGATTTTTCAGATTTCTTTTAGGATATTATGAGATGAGAACATTGAATCGATTGTCCTGTTTCTGTTTCGTTTTACGATTCTTCTCGCCTGAGCTCTATTTTTTATTTGTGGATGTTTGATGTTATCGTGAGGTCTTTTGATTTGCGTACGATGCAGAGATTTTATCCCGTCGATTCAGTTTCCTAAAAATTCATAAGGAATTGATATTTCGATTCCGTGTTCGTTTTCTTCTGAATTATTTTATTCTACTCGCTAGAGATCCATTCTGATTGTGCGTACGTTTCCACAACTGTTTGATTAGACGGAATAATAGATTGCAAACTAATTTTCCAATCAAATTGTTGTATACCTCAATTCTACGCATTGCATCTTAATCTCTAAACATAACGTTGGTTTTTGGTAGGTAAAATCCTTTGATCTTTATTTTTGCTTGTTGAAAATCTCGACATCATTGTTAATTGTTTCTTATAGGGAGAGATGGCACAGAGCAGTACATCTCATGACTCTGGCCCTCAGGGGCTAATGAGGCGGCCATCACGTAGTGCCGCCACAACAGTGTCAATTGAAGTTTTTGATCATGAGGTGGTTCCAGCCTCCCTTGGCACCATTGCCCCTATTCTGCGCGTTGCTGCAGAGATTGAACATGAGCGCCCTCGTGTTGCCTACCTCTGTATGATCTCTGCATTTTCCTCCTTTTTTCTGCTCCCAGGATAAAGTCAAATTACTTCGATCTATGTTGCTCACTTAACTTTCCCTGTGTCTCTTGTATAAAGGTCGATTTTATGCATTTGAGAAAGCTCATAGGCTGGATCCAAGCTCTAGTGGTCGAGGTGTGAGGCAATTCAAGACACTTCTCTTCCAAAGATTAGAAAGGGTGATCATCTCTTACTTTTCTACCTCTTTCTTGTACACATAAATAGCCACTATATCTTGGCGCCACACATAAATAGCCAGTATTAATATTTAGATTATTCCATCTGCATTAATTTTCTTGCTGTTCCATATTGTAGTCTTCACAAAGGATGTTTTCTAGTGCATTCAAATTCCAGTTTAATAGTCATTGTCTCAGACCTTCATCTTATGATAAAAACCGCTCCTCGACAAGCCCTTTTATTCGCA